TATATATATACGTATATATTTAATAGTAAACTAAATAAAAAGAAGAAATGAAAATTGGGTGGAAAACTTGGAGAAATATTTTTTTACCCATTATATTGAAGAAGCTTAGTTATTAATACTATACTTAAGAGCTATGTGGTTTACAGAGATACATCTAAGAGTCGAGGATTACAGGATAATGTAGTTAGGATTATTTAATTAAGCTTTGTATTGGTAGTTGAAAATGTGACACATAAGTAAACTTTTTCTTTAAGAAGAAAATGAACTTTTGTTCGAGATTACACTCCCTCTGCAAGTACAGCCATTGTGCCGTTTGATAATGTGCCATACATAATTTCTTATATTAGTTCGAAATCAAGAGGTTGTTCCATTGATGTTTTTTTTTTCATAATATTTCAATCTTCACGGCTGGAAATTCATTTGCGAATTCCCATGGAAAGCTGGGTAATCTAGCCTCGCCTTGGAGCGCTCATCTCTTAAAGAATAACCTCATTTTCTTTCATTAGACTTCTCCTCTTTAGCCTACTTTTCAAAGATAGCATTTCAAATGGAGAATTGCAGCATCTTTTTTTAACCCCAGCACAATGGAGATTGTCACCAAGGATTTAGATGAATCACATTTTTTGTCATGACTTAAAAGATCTTTTCAGTGTTTAATATTAGTCAATGACTTCTTCCCCTACCCCTTTTTTCTTCAACTAGCAATGTGAAAGACATCCACTCAGTCTTAGAGGTGACTGTCTATGACGAAGACAGAGACCGAAGTGCCGACTTCTTGGGCAAAGTGGCTATTCCGTTGTTAAATGTAAGTTTTGAGCTTGCAGACGTTTTCTTACAACAGTGAATCAGTATCAGATTGGACAAATGCACGAAAAGTTTTTCTTTTAATTTTTATTAAAAAAATTGGCATCCCAGCAGGCACCGGACGTCTATGTAACATCAGGTTGACGTTGGACATGACGTCAGACAGACGTTGCATTTTGGTTGAAAATGAAAATCGGGTTGACGTCAATATTTGACGTCAATTTGACGTTGACTTAACATTGGATTTTGGTTACACAACCTGAAAACAACAAAATATCAACGTTAGCTGACGTCGGTGTTGGACATCAATTTAACATTGACATTAGACGTTGAATTTACATTGAATTTTGGTCAGCCGACGTTGCAACCAAAATTTTACCAAATATCAACATCTTATGACGTTGTGTGCCTGCTAGGATGTGTCTAACCTTTTATTGATTTTAGAAATCATAGAGTAAGATGTCAAAGTGTGAAAAACACACACACAAAAAAGTTTTTTAAAAAATGGGAGAAAAATCAACAAAGCATGTGTCTAACCTTCATTGATTTTAGTAATCATAGAGTAAGATGTGAAAGTGAGAAAAACACTGGGGGAAAAATCTACTAACAAAAACAAAGAAGAAAAGAAAAGATAAGGGGGGACGCAATGTGCGCTCCCAGGCTGATTCCCCAGGATAGTTAATTTGCGGCTGACAGTGGTCGGGCCGTAATGAACAGGTACTTGTCAGAGCCGCCACAGTTGTTTTGGGCTCTCTGTCAGATGCAGCAGCTGGGGTTCAAAGGTCACACGGAGAGTGTATTCAGCTGGGTATTGCCAGACAGACGGCTGTCATGTCCCTCTCCCGCAGATCCAAAATGGAGAACGCAAAGCTTACGCCTTGAAAAGCAAGGAACTGACAGGGCCAACCAAAGGGGTCATCTTTCTCGAAATAGACGTGATTTATAACATTGTAAGTCCCACTCTCTTTTTCTCGCTTGCTTTTTTCTAGCGTTTTTCACTTCTTTATCTGCTTGTTCTCTTCAGCCTCTCCCGGGCTGTCTGTCTCTCTTTTAATTACTGAAGACTCCCCTTTCCTCAGCCTTTTATTTGTGAGTCTGTGTACCGCTGTGTGTGTCCGTCCGCCATTTTAGGGGGGAGTGTGAGAGAGCGTCACATGGCCGTGTGGTGTGGAGTGTGTGAAATGGAGGGATGTCTTGATATATTAGATCGTTAATGACGCATCTTGATCTCGACGGTGGATTATTGCATTCAATTACGCATGAAGTTTATATGTTGCAGGTAAAAGCCGGCATGAGAACTTTGATTCCCATCGAACAGAAATACATCGAAGATGAGCCACGAGTGTCCAAACAGGTAACGAGAGCACTTTAATCGCACCTTTGTTGAAGACATTAATAAAATCCCGCCCAACAGAAGTTCCTCGTCTTCCCCCTCTCTCTCTCTCTCTCGCTCCTTCTCCTCGTCTCTTCCTTCTCTTCTGGAGGTGCTGAATAGAAATGTCAAGCTGTCAACGCTGGGGGTGCATAAGTAGATTGGCCATCCTTTAGTTTGGACCTCAGTGGTTCTTCTGCTGTGCTTCTTTTTGTCACCCTGTTCAATGTCTCCCCCCATCCCTGACAAAGAGCTGAATTGTAGGGGTTGTCCCAAATCAGACCTGTCACTGAGACACTGCTTGGGACAAACACACACACACACACACACTGAGTGCATGCTAGAAAGTGCCCACTCTGCACTTTTCGGTGTGGATTTGCCCCCCACCTAAACTGGTTGTGAGTGAGACACAAACCGAACGGCGAGGGCAACATATCAGATTTATCTCCACAAGATTTGCTTTTACTTCTTGATACTGTCTCCTCAACAGTTGAAGCTCATTTCGTCAAACACATATTTTATTCTTTAGTAGTTTGGTATCGCATTTCACCTCGAATGTACTTTGATTAGTCCCAAATGACAAACACAAATGGCCTACTTTAAAGGGATAGCCCGAATCCTACACTTCGCCACAGTAAATGTGGATATTTACTATGATTAAAGCTGTAGCGTTTTAAAGCCATTATACGACCAGGAGCTTTTGATCTTCCCGTGAACATAGGAAGAAGCGGTCATTTGCAGTTCACCCGCACTCAGAAACATGAATAAGACCATTTTATTAAAGAGGAATAACAAAAAATAAATAAATAAATAAATAAACAATTCATTCATACTCATACAAATACAAAGATAGATATGGTTTGGTTTTCTCTAATTTGTGATTTGTTTCATTATTTTAGTCTAGTATCGTTTTTTTGGTGTTATTCCCTAACAACATCACTAAAAAGTAGTTTTCCCATTATTTCTAAATGTTGATCTTCAATTATTCTAGCGCTGTTAGACCTACGATTTTTCCACATCAAATTATGATAATTTAAAATTTATGTTATATACACTACTGTTGAAAAGTTTGTGGCCTGTAAGGTTTTTGTATGCTCGCCAAAGCTGCATTTATTTAATCAAAAACACAGTAAAGATTTTTCTTTTTGTAATAAAATATTACAATTTAAAATAACTGCTTTCTATTTCACTAAAATTTTAAATGTAATTTATTGCTTTGCTGGCAAAGCTGAATTTTCAGCAGCCCTTACTCCATTCCTCAGCATCACATGATCTGTCAGAAATCATTCTAATATGCTGATTTGGTGCTCAAGAAACATTTTTTATTATGATCAATGTTGAAACTAGCTACTTAATGAAAAATCACATAAAGTGTGATTCTTTTTGTTTCATTCCTTGATGAATGTAAAGTCAAAAGAACAGCATTTAATTGAAATGAAAATCTTTTGTAACATTGTAAATGTCTATGCTGTCATTATTGACAAACAAAAGTATTACTTTTTGCTGAATGATAGAATTAATTATTATTTATTAAAAAAAATATTTTGAATGGTAGTGTATGTAGTTTAAAAAATGGAATTTAGTTTTAGTATATTTGTTTTCTCATTGTGAATCAGTTTAATTGTGAAGTGTTGTCTGTTGTTCTGTCTCTCAGCTGCTGCTGCATAACTTCAACAGAGTGAGGCGCTGTATAATGTTCCTGGTCAATGCTGGCTGCTATATCAACAGCTGCTTTGAGTGGAAGTCTCCTCAGAGGAGCATCTGTGCCTTTCTGGTAAGGACCAGTATGAATTCAACCACACCAGCAGTCGCATACAGCGGCTCCAGAATGTACCTGGACACATTTGTGTTTGGCAACAATTGAATTTCATTATATCAGATTTTAAAATATAAATAAATATCTGGATATTTTCTGGTTGTCAAATGGATTCGACTTTATATTAAGTGGCCTTAACTACTATGTACCTACATTTAAATTAAGCATTTGATACAATGCACTTATTGTGTACATACATGTTTTACATTTATATATTTTTTAAAATATCTGCATGTAATTACATCTGTAATTAATTTCTGTAATTACATTTATTACACTGTAATAATACATTTACTACACCTTAAGCCACCCTTAAACCTACCCATACCACCAAACCTGTCCCTAACCTTACCTGTATCCCACCTCAATAGCAGCAAAAGTGTTCGGGGTAACACTTTATTTATGGTGTCCTTGTTAAACATGTTACATGTTTTTACTATTATAATAACAATTAATTATGCATACTTACATGCAAGTAATCCTAAACCAAATCCTAATCCTAAGTATATAGTAAGTACATGTAGTTAATTAATATTACTCAGTACTTAAATGTATAATTACACTGTAACAAGGGACAACTTAAAATAAAGTCTAACCGTGTTCTGCAAAACAATATGAACACAATAAGTACATTGATGTAAGTACATAGTAGTAAAGGCCACTTCATATAAACTGGGACTGTCAAATGTTTGTGGATCATGTTCAGAGTTAATGTGATGAACTACACCTGTGGTTACTCTGGAACGCATTTATGAATTTAGGAGAACTTTATACATTCACTAAAATGACCTTGGGATAAATTGATTGCAAAAATGCCTCATAAAAGTGACGTTAACTCTTAACAATAGCAGTTATCAATAGCAGATTTGAATCGGCAAAGAAATTCTGTTTCTTTTCTCAGAGTTAGCATCATTTTTCTAAGCCATTTTTTGCAACCAATACATCCCAAGGTCATTTTAGTGAATGAAGTAAGTTCTCCTCGGATCACACATGAGTAACCATAAATGTAGTTCATCAAATTAACTCTGAACATGATCCACTAACCAGAAAGTATCCACGTAATGTACATTTATCATTACTTTTAACAGTATGTCCACTGTTTTATCATTCAATACCTAACAAACATTTTTTTCTTTGAAATGTTTTGCTTCAAAAGTGCATTTCTATATATTTTCTTAAAAATAATTGGCACTTGATTTTGTATTTTATTTCTACACTCTTAAAAATAAAGGTGCTTCAAAAGGTTCTTCAAGCGATGCCATAGAAGAACCATTTTTGGTTCCCCAAAGAACCATTCAGTCAAAGGGTCTTTAAAGAACACTCTCTTTCTTACCTTTTTGTAATCTGAAGAACCTTCTTTCGCCACAAAGAACCTTTTGTGAAACAGAAAGGTTCTTCAGATGTTAAAGGTTCTTTATGGAACCATTTAGACAAAAAGGTTCTTCTATGGCATCGTGAAGCACCTTTATTTTTAAGAGTGTACTTAAGTGATTTTCAAACATTTTAAGTGTGTTTAAAGTGCCCAAATACTTTCTGGGGCCATTTCACGTACACACTGGACTTTATAAAATATAGTGACAAGTTCTGTGGTGATCCATTAGGTCCTGTGTGCACACATTTCCCATCTCTCCGTCTGTTGTGTTAAAAATGTCCAGAATTTTGCCCATTTGTCTTTGACATCCTCCAGCAATTCTCTCAGATCTCAGGCACCTCGGGTGAAATCGTCTGAATTCACGACAGTCTCTTTCATAGCGTGGTGCACCTTCAGATTTTAATTGGACAGTTGAACCTTCATGAAAAGGACACCCTTTGTGAGTGGGCCGTGTGACTAAATGCTAGCACAGGACAGCTGTATCGATCAGCTAACATTTTAGTTGGACATTTTTCCCATCTCCCCGTCTGTCGTGTTAAAAATGTCCAGAATTTTGCCCATTTGTCTTTGACATGCTCCAGCAATTCTCTCAGATCTCAGGCACCTCGGGTGAAATCGTCTGAATTCACGACAGTCTCTTTCATAGCGTGGTGCACCTTCAGATTTTAATTGGACAGTTGAACCTTCATGAAAAGGACACCCTTTGTGAGTGGGCCGTGTGACTAAATGCTAGCACAGGACAAGCTGGCTAATCTTTGCTTGTGATGCTGCATAATTTGCTGTAAGGCCTGTCTGTTTTGGGACTCGCGTGTCTTTAAGTGTCGCAGGGTAGGCCATTAACATTTGCTGCTTGACACATTTTAATTTCAGTACACTTCCGAAAGCAAAAGCCGAGGGCACACGCGTGAGCGGAGGGACAGCTGTATCGATCAGCTAACATTTTAGTTGGACATTTTTTTGGTTGGTTGTCGGGGGAAAAAAACATCAATGAAAATGTCAGAGGAAGAAATGTCAAGAGGTTGGAGGAGAATAAAACAAAAACAATCACATTGCATTTGTCCTTAATGTTCAGATGCTTTGTTTATTCAGTCACATTCAGTTCAGCACGTCTGACCTGAACTTCCAAAGTTATAAAAATAGCTTTAAAAAGAAGAAAAAGAGTGTTTTTTTTTGTATTTTCTTCACAGTTGTCCCATTAGCTGGTAATGTTATTCTTTGCAGTCTAAATCTCCCTCCTTAAGAGCTCTCTTAATCATCACACTGATTTCTTTCTTTATCACCAGCCATCTGGTTCAGGTGAGCCTTCACCGCTGCGCTGAGACACACATCTGTGCCGTTCTGTCAGCCGCTGACAGATGTAAGCTAAAAGAATACAATAGTCAGACACCGGCGGAGGTGATTTCGCATTCAAGAGTTGTAGAACCTCCGGTGCTTGCCGCACAAAGGTTAGCCAAAGCAAAGGGGCTGCTCGCGATGCGCAGATAAAACCAGCTGCGAGCGGCGGCGGTGGCAAGCCTTCTGATTTGCTATTCTGGTATTTTTAGGTCTGTGCCTTTTTGACATTTAAGAGTTCTTGTTTTTAGCTTAGGTTTTGAGGTTGTTTTGAGGTGTTTTTGTTTATGTTGTTGCTGGGATTTTGTTGCAGAAAGTCTTCCAAAGATTTTGTTTGTTTGTTTGTTTGCTGGTGCTCCAAATACTCTGCTCCTTTTCTTAAAGGTGAAGCGTGTAAGTAAAACATCGTGCTGGATCTCAGTTTAATATGCAAAGTAGGCCATTTTTATGTTGAAAACTTTTAGGCAGCCATACCTGCTTGACACAACCATGCAATGGCAATAGTTAGGGGGTGGGACTATCTGTTTGACGACCAATAGCTGCCAGCCATCCTTGGCCGATACATTTCTTATTATCAATGTTGAAAACAGTTGTGCTGTTTAATATTTTTTTGTGGAAACCAGGTTTCTCTTTTTAAAGATTCTTTGATGTATATAAAGTTCAAAAGAACTATAAACGTCTTTACTGTTATTTGCAATCAATCTTATGTGTCCTGGCTGAATTAAATTATTAATTTATTTAAAAAAGGCATTAGTTTGGGGGTCAGACTACCTATTTGACAAGCAGATTATTATTATTATTATTTTTTTTTTTAAATGATCAATGTGGAAACCAGTTGTGCTGCTTAATATTTTTGTGGAAATGATTATTTTTTCAGGATATGTTGATAAATAGAAAATTCAAAAGAACATAGTTTATTTGAAATATTTTGTAACAATATAAATATCTTTACTGTCACTTTTGATCAATTTTATGCATCCTTGCTGAATGAAAGTATTATTAAATTATTAATTTATTTAAAAAAGGCATTAGTTTGGGGGTCAGACTACCTATTTGACAAGCAGATTATTATTATTATTTTTTTTTTTTTTAAATGATCAATGTGGAAACCAGTTGTGCTGCTTAATATTTTTGTGGAAATGATTATTTTTTCAGGATATGTTGATAAATAGAAAATTCAAAAGAACATAGTTTATTTGAAATATTTTGTAACAATATAAATATCTTTACTGTCACTTTTGATCAATTTTATTCCTTTTCATCCTTGCTGTATTGCTAAATGAAAGTATTAATTTATTTGACAACCAATGGCCAACAGTCACCACTGGCTAAAACATCTCTTATGTTGTACTTCTAAATATTTTTGTAGAAACATGAATAGAAAGTTGAATAGATTGATAAATAGGAAGTTCAAAAGAACATAGTTTATGAAGTCTTTATAACAATGGTAATGTCTTCTTTACTGTCACCTTTGATCAATGAATGTGTCTTTGCAGAATGAAAATATTAACTGATGTTGGACAACCAATGGGCAACAGTCATCTCTGCAAATTTCTTTACTGCAAAAATCTTTACATGTGTGTTAACTTTTGTAAGCCGTACATTCATGATCGCACACGGCCGGCCAGTCAAGACGACACAGCTCATGGCATATTCACAATGGACAAAGCTCGGAGAGTATGTGTGCGTGTGTGCGCTCGTTCAAGTGCGCGTGGGTGTGTTTGTGCGCGTCTGCCTCCCCTCTCCACGAACACCTGTAAGCTGAGCGTTTGCGCTGGGTGAATATGGGCCATTGTTCTGGCTGGCAGAGTGGTGCTCATAAAGACCGCTCTGTGCCAACCCTCTACCCCTCCAGCTCCTTATTGCTCCCGCACCGACTCTTCCTCCAAACAAATTTGCCGTAACTCTACCTGCAATTTGGCCTTGAATTGGGAGCAAATAGAGCAGGTATGGTGTGTCGTGGGGAATAAGAGTGGTGTGTGTGTGTAGAGGGTAAAGAGGGAGATATATTGGAAGGGGAGAGGTAAGGAAATGATACCCGGCTCCTTTATGTGGGGTAAAGTAGGACTCTTATCAGTGGGAGCACCCAGACAAGAGAGCTACTACTACAGGAAACTGGAGCAGCCTTCACCTGCTTTGCATTTAGATA